ACAGAGGCAGTCGCTTCAATGGACCTAAATCACTCAAACACGAACGGGAAACTCTCCACAAATCACAACCAAAGAATCACTAAGACTCTAAGCACACACAGTGGCCAGAAAACTAGAGGTTTAATGGCTTAATCACCAGATTCACGAAGAAGGAGAAGAGGCAGAAGACACAAATTCATGAAGAGAGAGACCCAGAAGGTTCCACAGAAATATCACGAAGAGGCAAAGAAAGAGTGACTCAAATTAGGGCCAAACAGACTCGGACCTCGTTTATATCATAATGGGTCATCACCGTAGATGTTAGGTTAAGTAGATCAAAGGGTCCAGAGCGACACACATAGGTTATTAGGTTTGGGCCGGGTTTCAGCTGCTTTCAACATTGAATTATTGGGCAATGGGTTGGGTAGTATCTGTTGGACCAATTATCATCATTGTCCAAATGGGCTGGACACACAAGTATATTTGGCATCACAGCCCAGTGATAATTTTATCTGGTTTTTTTTTTTTTTTTTTTTTTTTTTTTTCCCTTTAGAATCTGTCACTTGTTGCTTTGGTTTAACTTCAAGATTTGCTCGGTTAAGGTCTATATATGTCCATGCTCAATAGAAATATCTTTATCTGATAAATATTAATAAAGAAACCGAAGGTAAAATGCATGGTTCCAACTGAGCTTGCTTATTTCATAGTGGATGATCGGCTGCTGAAATTTGATTGGAGATAAAAAATCGAAATATTTAATATTTTAGAAGATAATGCATGATTCATACCCGTGAAATTGTTAATCATCTTCTCTGGTGGAAATATTTGTTGCTGGTGTTTTTTCAGAGTCAAAAGAGAACTGAGAGTGCATCTAAAAAATCTGGGGAAAAAAATAGTGTGCCTGAATTAGAAGAAGATTCTGGAGAAGCAGAAGAAGAGCAAGAGGAAGCACATGGAGAGGAAAATGTTCATGGTAAACCCGAAAGATCAGATGATGAGATGTCTGATCAAGCTAAGAGTCAGGAGAACCCTAGTGAATCTGAAGATGAGCCTGGTGAAGAGAAAGAAAAGCAGAAGCCACCATCGCCAAAGAAAGGCTCTGCTGGAAAAACCAAGACCAAGAATGTAACAATCTCTCAAAAGGCCAGTACCCCTAAAAAATCACCTGCGAAATCACCATCAAGTCGCTCAAAGTACAATAATGATATGAATGCAAAGAAGTCTTCTGGTACGAAGAGAGATGAAGCAGTAAAGGAGAGGTCTCCTCTTCCAAAGAACAAAGCATCAATGGAAATTACTGGTGAGAATAGTGGTTTATTCTCATTTGAATTGGTTTGAAAATAAAATGTAGAGTTGGTACTGCTGTTCTTTATAGTTGGCGAACTTCTTGATTTTTTTTTTCCTGTTCAAGTGAAGGGAAGAAGATTGTGCAAAGGAAAGACAAGCCTAAGGAGCCGAGTAACGATGAACTCAGAAATGCCATTTGGGAAATCCTTGAAGAGGTTGACTTCAATACAGTTCGTATTAGAGGTTCTCTGCTTTTTTGACCAAATAGGTTTAGATTTAAAAATACCCTTCTCGCTATTCTATTGTGTGTGGGAACAGAAGACGCATGTATTTCCCATTTAGCAATAATGCTTTTGTTTTATGTGATTGCTTATTAGTTGTAAAAATGAGACTTGTAGTCTTGAGTATTGTAATTCTTCTGTTGGCAGTTATGTTGTCTTTTACGTTCCATTATATCTCACCCTGATACATTCTGCTTTGAATATTGCAGGCTACCTTCACTGACATTCTGAAGATACTATGTAAGTTTCCATGAAAGTTTCTTCCAGACCTAAAAGTCTTAAGCCATATTTATTAAGTTCAGCCTTTTTCATACCAGAAACGTAGTGAACCTGTCAGTCTGGAGGTGCAATTGGTTTGATAGTAATACTATAAAAACAAATACAGATTAATTTCACTTGAATTTTGTGCTTACCTTGGAATTTTTTGCTGTTACTAGTCAATCACAATTATATCTATCGTTCCAGGAAACTCTCAGATTGTTTGGTGTCACCCTCGAAATAATATTATTGGTTTGATATGTTTGTGAAATCTAATTCCCTAAACGTTTACCATACTAGCCTAGTGAAAATTCTTGGGGAGATACGCGTGCCATTTCCATTTTATTCACATTTCTGGGGTAATGGAAAAGGACATTTGAAGCTTTGTGTTGTAGTTCATTTTAGTTAAATTTCAATCTCATCTTTTTTTTTTTGAATGACGAAAACCTATCATCATTTCAGCCAAGCGATTCAGTACCGAACTGACACCCAGAAAATCATCAATAAAGCTCATGATTCAGGACGAGCTTACAAAACTAGCTGAAGCACAAGATGATTAGCAAGATGAAGATGGAAATGCCGAGAAGGATGAAAAACAGCCTTCTGGCCAAGACGTGAAGGCATGACTATCTTATCTAGGTAGCTGTAACATAAGATCGGTATATCCTATAAACTTCTGCACAATCCTTCTCTTCGTCTAATTTCATATAGTCCTACTACCCTGTAGAGTTGTCTCCCCATCCCCAAGCTTTAATAAGCATTAAGCAAGCAGTAACTAATATTTACTGTTTATTAACCTGAGAACTTTTGTTCACTAGGAATTGAGAGTTAACTGTAGCCTGCAGATTTACAGTTTGTCAAGTACACAACCTCAAAAGTTGTAGTTTTAAGCTTAAAAATAAAATAAAATTAGTACGTAAAATTTTCTAAATTCATTTCTGGCATTCAGTTAAACGCGTCGTGTTTTGCACTTAGCGTCCATTTGCCATATTTTATAATTCTATTCATAAAACGTCAAATTTCATTATCAATCGCACATTTTTAGTGGTTCAAGTATTATCTATCACTCATTTTTATCTATTAATAAATTCATCCTATCAGAGGATCAAGCAAGACTACTGAAAAACAGATCAACTACGAAATCTATTTCATACGTACTTATATTATAAATAATTCAATTTTATGGAGTTCAATCGATAGTTGATAGCCCATCAGGTCGTGTTATCCTGGCCTCCCACAAGCAGCAGGTATATCGGATCGTAGTTGAGAACCCGGTTTGACTTTAAAAGACCCGCCCCTCGCCATTTGGTTGTAACTGTGCATAGCACTTGTGGTTTCATTTTAAGCTCTTGCTTGTTAGAAATTAATTTAAATTAATCATGTATTTTATGTGATTCATAATTTTTCAACTACATATTTCATTAATTTTTATTAAAATTTATTTAAAACTTGTTTTTAATTCATGATAAATGTCAATTTTATCTAACATGTTTTCGCAAGGTAGTAATTCGTTTGAGTCGATTAATTTTTAAATTTGATTGCTCGTTTTAAATTTTAATTGGATTAAGTCCCATCATTTGATAGCAATTTTTCAACTCAAAAAATCAATTTTTCGATTATTATTTCACTATTTTAGCGGTCATTTTTTATTTTTTTCTCTCACAAGTAGGAATTACTTTTTTCTCTTACTGTCAAAAATCAATTCTCACAGTTGCTACCAAACATGCCCTATATTGTTCGTTGAAGTGTCATGAGATGGGATATTATTGCAGTCTTCTCCCCCTCCATATCAAGGAACCTCAGCAAGTAAACCTTCTGTGGCTCCACATATTCCTTGAATCCCGAGGGAGTCATCGCACAGAGCAAATCGTCATCGCCGATCGTCTTTCTCTTCTCCATCTGGCACTTATCTGATGCCACCAGTGATTAAGCTGATGAACTCTGATACACTCTCCTGAACGGTTTCTTTTGCATTCACTGGCAGCGCTTTTTCATGATTCTGCTTACGTTCGCGATTGGGAGAAACCTGTCTTGCTCTTTTCTCGACTCATTATTTGAATCTGCCATTTTTCGGGGTGTATAGAACTGATGAGTTCGAAGAGAAGCAAAATTTTCAGGTATTTTATTAGCACTGTTTTGAAGTGAGAATTCTGAGCCATTTTCTGTTATACACATAATGAAGATATCAGAAATTTGGCGAGAGGTAAAAACGAATCAAAATTTTTGAATGTAAAGCGGGTTCGAGTGAAGAGTGTGAGATCCGTTGGATCAAATGCTATAATGACACGATCTAGGAGACACGTGGACGGTATTAAACCGTTGTTTGTCGATAGCCATAAATGCGATAGACGAGTTTTGGTACTTTGGCGCCACTCGGTTTTTCAGAAGTGGACTGATCTTGACCGTCAGTTAGCATCTAGCACGTAGTGGGGCCTGGCTTGATCCTGCTGGCCAATGAGAACTTACTTGAAGTACACATTAAATGTGCAAGTAAATTTAGAGCTATGCTTCTCAACCTTTCACGTATTGTACTTATGGTTTATGGGTCTTCAACCATCAAAAAAAAAATAAGGTTTTGGGTCCTCAGCCTATTTGAATATGTGAATTTGGATCCGCAATGTGATGAGAATTGCTGATTTTAAAGTTAAAAAGTCACATTTTCAGTTGAACTGAAGATGTTAAGTGGTTTGACAATTTTGCCCTTTAGATGAGTCATGTATATGTCCCGTACGATTTTAACATTTATATCGATGGTTTCGATCACTCGGGTTTCCAGATTTACCAATTTAAATAGATTGGTACTCGAATCCCCATTTTTTAAGGTTGGAAATCTATAACCGTACCATGTGAAAAATTGAGAGCCCAAACTTAAATTTACCTGGATTGTTTTGAAAAATAGCTGCGGAGGTCTCCAACTTTTCATGTAAAGAACATTTTAATCTCTAATTTAGCAAAAGTAGCATTCTCATCTCCAACCATTTAGCTTTTGGCAACCTTTCTGCCCTAAAATTTATTTCTAAGCTCTGTCCATAAGATAAGTAATGAATTGGATTAGGTTTGTTGAATTGTGCAATGTTGTTTGCACACCAAAAATGGTTTTATGTCATATTTGGTTCGAAGGAGTGGATAATGGTGAAACAATATTAAAGGAAAAATAAAGAAGCTAAATATTTATTTTTAATATTGTTCTGTACCATTTAATATTGCGTATCAAACAAGCAATTAAAAAGTATTTTCACAAAGCATATAATTGAATTTCTTTTGATCAATTGCATGAATCTTTTAGGTATGCCTTTATGCGAGTGTTTAGAAATTAGAACGGGAAAGAAATTTTCTGTGGCAGAATCTTGCTATGCCAAAGTTACAATTCAATGCGCAAGTTCTTGATTGCATACAGCTATATGGTTCTTCAGGTAAATGCTGGCCATAAAAATTTTAAATGATATGGTTGATGGGATTTTAGCATATCTGGCCAATATTGCAATTTAGAACTCCTGCAGATGGCATGATGTTTGTTAGAAGTGAAGCTGGTCTTGCGACCATGCTCGAAGCTTTTGCGTAGCTCCCTGAAGTTCCATTTCCGGAAGGCGTAAACTGTGCACCATTTAGTAGCAAATCCCCGTCCGATCTCCAGTTCCACTTCTTCCATTCTGCAGATCCATTTGGGATTTCACGTTTCGTCACCTGAATATAAGGTACGTAAATCAAGACTAAACATGAATGTTGAAGTATTTTTGGAGTAAAATGCAGTACAAAATCTTAGTTCTCTGGTATTGTAGTAAGGTGATCAGTAGTAATTAGTAAGTTTCAAGATTGTTACTGAAGTACACGAAGCAAAATATACCTCCTTTGTAGATTCATCGTCTGATGCAATGAAAACGTTGCCTTGACTATTGATTGTTGGATTAGCACTTCCTCCGATAGCATACATCTCCCAACCAGTGTATACATTGTTTACAATGTGAAAATAGCCATGTCTACACCTACAAGAGTTAACAGAAATCTCTTAGTTGGAATAGAGCTAATATAATCTGTTAAATAAGTTGTTTTTGGAATTTCGATAGTAGCTAGTTACCGTGGAATTCGTTGAACCAGACCTTCTCCGAAGTAATTAAAAGCAATGGTAACTTGCATATTCTTGTCTGCTACAAAATCATCGTTGTGTCCCATGAGCATGACTTCATTATGTTGAAGCATGTAGTTGTTGGAGATGGTTATGGCTGTCGATCCGTACACTATGTCAATGAGGCCATCTTGGCATTTGGCTAGTGTACAATGGTCGATCCAAATGTCCCGAGCCCCAAATACTGAGATGCCGTCCCCATCTGATATGCCTCTCAACTGATAATGATGTGGGGAATCTGTCACAACTGCATTCCCTGCCTGTACACAATTTTGTATGTAGATTCCATGAATGATGATATTAGTCACACTTTGTATGGTTATACATGGTCCATTTGATATTTCAATGTTAAACCCTCTACCATCTATGGTCTTGTATGAGTTCATCATGAGTTCTTCTTTCAGTTTGATGTTCATGTCATGATCGAATATAATCCACAGGGGTTCATCTTGAATGACTGCATGTCGGAGCATGCCTGGACTGGGATCCTTTGGATCGTCATCGTCTCTTGTGACAACGTAGTATTCACCATCTCTACCACCAATGGCATTTCCTCCAAAGCCAATCGCACAATCAGCTAGCACTTTTCGGTTGGATTCCCAATCAGGGTCGCACCTCCAGCAATCATCAATGGGATTACCAGTTCTGCAAGATCCTCCTCCAAGTCCATCAGTCGAGTTCTTGATCATTCTCCTGCATATCAGAAAAGGTAAGCAAAACTTCAATCAGTTTTGGCATGGATTTGACGTATACTTCGAAAATTTTAATAGAAAAAAGCTAAGCAAGAGAAATTACCATTGGGTTGGTCCTGATATACGTGCTAGCGGACGTGCAAACGATTGATGAGCGTGTATAAAGAGGGCAAGGTATAGAAGGCAGACTACTGACATTGTTGTTTAAGGTCCCCAGGTTGGGGAAGGAGAAGGTTGTGATTTGGTAGTTGGCTCTCTGAACTGTATTATCTATTTATGGTAAACTTTGTGCTAAAAAATATGCAATTAGAAATGCAGAAAATATTGGAAGATGATGAATTGAAAGTGATGAAAAGTAGTTGGAATTCAAGACTAACCCTTTGAGTTGCAAAAGCTGTTGAGCCTGGGAGCAACTGGCATTTAATATCTTCATTTTCCGGCATAGAACTGGACCCAGACTCCAAAGTAACACCTAGAATTAGAAAGGGATCAACCTACTACTTTGTTGCAATTTAAAAACCTATAATGTTGCACGTTTGGAGAGAGAAAATATAGAGCCCCACGTCAAAAAGGCTTGGTTTGTTCACTATAACATTTGTATTCCTATTTTTTTCCTGTCCAGTTCTTATCATCGACCTTCTATTAATTAGCACATCTAATCATTGGGGATGATTTTAAAATGTTTTGGTTACATGCTTTGAAAAGAAGGAATCATATTTGTCACACTTTACATTTATTGTTTTTTAAAGCATGATGTCAAATAAGTCGACGGACCTTTTGGATATATATAGTATCCTTGTTTTGATTAGGTTGGAGTCTACACTAAACCTCTCGCCATTACGTCTATATTGTATTAAAATGGTTAAGTTTTATAATCTTTTTCCAACATTTTCATTACAAACTGAGCCTTTATTCTGAGTTTGATTAGTATAATGTAAAATTAGAGTACTTACATAGAGCAAATTTGCCCTTTTAAAACCCGAAGTTTGACTGTTTCTAACCTA